GACCTAACCAACCCTAACACAACCCTGAAAATAAAAATGTGATTAGTAAAACATCCTGAACTCTTTTTACATTGAAAATAATTATTACCTTTTGATCGAGAGAGATATCTCTTCGTCGAAAGGAATATTATTAACCATGTAAATTATCGATTCTATTCTAATACCATATCGTTGTAACATGCCAAATTATGGTCCTACAATTTRGAAACGACTTCAAGACATTTTCACCCAATTACTCTCAACTGCTTATAACACTAATATAAATGAAATACATTTCATATTACAATACCTATGAAATAATTTCATTTATTTTTCTATCATACATACCATTTTGCAAAATAATTCCGYTCGATGTTCGTTATATAACTCTGTTAAATAATTATTACAAAAATAAATTCGCGTTTTACCGTTAGCTATCCTAGCTCGTGGACAATCAATGAACTTAGAGTTCATCGACTGTGCACATGTTACACGAGCACATTTAATCGAATGTCCGAACAGTTAATTAAGCTAATCCATGACACTTCGCACTTTTTACTATCAAATAATAAAAACGAATTGAAATAAAAAAAATAATACTAAAAATGCAATGCATTTTTTTGCAAGATATTTTTATTTAATTTAAATTGATTTATATCAAACATTTCAAAGACTAAATCGCGATAGTGCGAAGTGTTAAACCTGTTATACTTAAAACTAAGTATCAAATTCATCAAAGATTTTGCGAATTTAATTTCGATTATATCTCGTTCGAGATAGAATCGAAGTAAAAATGAATCTTTCAAATGGTTGCAAATATCTTTGAATCATGATACATATTAAAAATGATAGAATTGTCACAAAATACATTTACTAAGTAAGCATGATAGAAATAAAAAAGATAACATTTTGTGACAATTCTATATAAAAAAAACCCGAAGATGGGACTTGCACTTTTCAAGTGCAAGTGTACCCATGTGCCTTTCCGGGGTCCTATCTACTTAAAATTAAAGTTTCACATTCACTCAGTAAAAAACACATGCATACCCACCCATTCACTCCACGGTTCTCACACATACCACCAGGGTGCAAAAGCCTACACTAGAGAGCATGCCCCGGGGCACCTCCGTCACCCTAGTTCAACCACGTTTTCTAAACTTACATGCTAATAGGTTACGTACCAGTTGCTGTAATCGTCTGCCAAGGCTAGTGATTATTGCAAATAAAACTACTGCAAAAATACAAGTATACACTAGTATATATATATATATGCATACTAGTTATATACGTGTATGTTTCCACAAATAAATGTGGGTGACTCTACTATGCAAAACGATTATTAAAAAAAAAAAAATTCGTATCGTACGCGTGACTCTACAAGTTATATTTATTTGAATAACTTTTTCAAAAATACGCGGTATTTCACGTAATCGCGAACGATGTACAATGCACCACCTACCACGCACACACAGGTGCAATRTACACCGTGCAATCACTAGCACAATGACAGCCGCCAAAGGAAAACTTACAAACTAATAACCCATGCAAACTTTTTCTCACCCATACGTGTAACACCTGGGTAACACGCATAAATGAGAACGAAGCGTGCATAGGGGGGAGAAAAGGGGGTATTAGTATATTAGTTGCTGAAAATCCTAATCTAAAAACATTGATTAATACATTTAAATATTCTCAAATAAATCTAAGCGGACTATGACTCTACAAGTCTTTAAGACTTTCAAAAAAAAAAAAAAGATATTAGATATTAAAAATTGAAAATTATTCAAAAACCTCGGACGACTCCTTTGATTAAGTTGGCTGTTCTTATTAAAGAACTGGGCTTTTTTAGCCACCACTTAATTGCCAGTGTCTATCCGTTCGYGAAAGGGTTTTGTCTTCTTGCTCATTTATTTATAATATCGAAATTAATCGCGATTAAATAAACTAAATACGAAGCAATGCATGTAAGACATTTATTACATGCTTTATTGGTACGAAATCGAGTAAATTAATACTCGATTTCACCA